CCAGGTCCCCGACCCCAGGGAAGGGCCCACACACGCCCCCCCAGGTCCCCGACCCCAGGGAAGAACCGACACATGCTGCCTCAGTCTCCCCTCTTCAAATAGGGACCATGACCCCGCACAGAGTGCCCGGATGGCGGTCATGTGCCGGAGCGGCCTCGGCCCCCTGCCCCACCCCCGCACACGGGAGAACAGGGGTGCCTACCCGAGGGCAGGCAGCAGACAGGATCTCCCCAAAGGGCTCAAACTGCACCTCCTGGTAATGACGCACGAGGTCAGCCAGGGTGCTGTGGCTGCAGGTGTCTCCCGAGACCAGGTAGCGCCGGTCCCGCTGCTGGTTGATGACAAAGTGCCGACAGCGGTCACTGCCCCTGCAACACGCCGGTGTGGCCGTGGGCGGTCCTGCGCGCCCGCCCGCGCAGCCCTGCCCCGGGTGTTCCTCTGTTACGGGGCCTGAAGCTCCCGAGCCCAGCCCGGCACAGCCCAGCCTCCTGCGGGTCGGGAGCCGGGGAGTGGCTTTCAAGTCACCCGCCCCCAGCCCCAGGGAAGTCCCTAGGCCTGCCCCAGTGGGGCGAGGGAGGCACCCAGCGGCCGCCAAATTCGGAGGGGCACCACAAACTCGGCAACGAAAATAACCAGCAGGGCAGTATTTTAGAAAATCAAAATCAATTACCCAAACGTCCATGGTGAACAAAATACCAACATCTCAAACCAAAAGGAGGTCCAACCCTGCACTCACTCGGCGCCCCTCGGCCCGCCCTAAACGCCTGGAGTTCCAGCCCCGCCCACAGCCCGCGGGTAAACCCCTGCCCTCCCGGGGTCCTGTCCTCCTCGACCGACCAACAACCTTTCTGCAGCGAAGCGCCCGCGGCCCGAGTGTGCGTGTGCGCAGGGACGGGTCCCGCAGAGGCGCCCTCCGGGGAGCCACCCCCAGGCGAAGCAGGGCGCGTTTGCCGCGCCGGAGACTCCCGCCTGCCCCCGTGTGGCTGTGGACGTCACGAGATGGAATCACAGTTTCCGTGTCTGGCTTCCCCCAGCGCAGCTTTGACGCTGATTCGTGTCTGCGCACGGTGAGCTCCCGACCCCGATGGGTAGAATCCACTGAAGGAAGACATCCACGATTCGCCCTCTTTGTTGCTGGACGTTTAGGTCCTTTCCAGATCTGGGCTGCTAGGAATAAAGCTGCCGTGGACATCCCGGTGCGCGTTTGCGGCGCCCGGCCGTGCGCATCTCTGTTGGGAGCACCAGGAGTAGCACTGGGGCTCGGGGTTTGCCTGTTTAGCTCGGAGGATTCTGGCGAATCGTTTTCTGAAATCGTTGTGAGGCAGGAGCCTTCCAGGTGTCCCCACATCCGACCAACTCCTCGGTATCCTCTGTCTTCCCATTCTCGCCACGCGTTGCGGGTTGCATTTGTATTTCCCCGATTACTAATGCTGCTGAACACCAAAACATTGTTGCCCTTTGGTCAGACCCTTTTATGAAGTGGCTGTTCGAGTCTTTCCCCTTTATTGATCATGTCGTCTCTGTCTTAGTGATTTGCGGGAGCTCTTCGTATATTCTGGCAGGAGCCCTTTGTTAGATACACGTATTACAATACATAACTTCTCCCAAGACTCTGGTTTGTCCTTTTATTCACTCATTGGTATCTTTTGATTAACAGAAAGTCTTAATTTTAAAGAAATCCAGTGTATCCACCTTCTCTTTTATGGTTAGTAGGTTTGTGTCTTAAGAAATCTTCGTCTTTCTCGAAGCCTTGAAAATTTTTCCTGTTTTCTTTCAGAAATGTCCTGCTTTGCTCTTCTCACTCGTGTCTATGATCCTTCTAGAATTAATTCATTTTTTCTGTATGATGTGAGGTGGGGGTCATTGTTTTCCATCTGGATATCCGATTGCTCCCACGCCCCTTACTGGAAAGACCTGCCTTTCTGCACGGAATGGCTGTGAAGCAGGTAACCACACGTGTGGGTTGTGTCTGGGCCCCATGGTGCTCCACGGCTCCATCTACCCACCAGGTACCTCTGAGCAATTTTGTACGTTGGCATTCCACCTAAGACCGTGTTTGGACAGAAGGGCCCTCATGCTAAAAAGACATTTGGAAGCTGCTGAGCTCACATATTTCAAAGTGCTTAGCAGAGTACCTGGCACATAGAATAACAATGACCATTTTAATAGTGACTGATGTTTTTTGGTCCAGCCACTGTGCCAAGCACTTTTCTTTTTTTTTTTTTTTAAAGATTTTACTTATTTGACAGAGAGAGAGAGCACAAGTAGGCAGAGAGGCAGGCAGAGGGAGAGGGAGAAGCAGGCTCCCCGGTGAGCAGGGAGCCCGACGTGGGGCTCGATCCCAGGACCCTGGGATCATGACCTGAGCCGAAGGCAGACGCTTAACCGACTGAGCCACCCAGGCGCCCCGCCAAGCACTTTTCAATGTATAAACGCATCCAACCCATTCAGCAATCCTGCGACGTTGGTACTACGAGGTTCCCATCCTACAGATGAAGTGGCAGAAGCACACGGAAGCCCGTGCTCAAGGTCAGGACTTGAACTGGGGTGGTCTGAGCAGGAGGTAACTTTGAATCTGATCTGAGTCCTCTGAGGTTCCCGGGAGCCCTGGCCTCACCTCCTGACGGGAAGGGGGCTCCTCCCTTCCTCCGCCTTGCCCAACCCAGCCTCCTCTCCAGCCCGGGCCTGATGTCACCACCTCGGCTTCATCCTGGCCGTCCTGCCCCCTGTCCTGTACTGTGGCCTCCCCATTTCACGGGTCCCCACGGGCCTCACACGTCCTGCCTCTGTGTTTAGGTCCTCCGTCCACAGCCTGCTTGAAGGACCCTGACCAAGTGGCCCTCCCCGGCCTACAGACGTCGCCCCACACTCCTGTGCAGGCACTCCCTCCCCAGGAACCTGCTGTCCCCAGCCCCTTGCAGCTCCTCTGAAGGCTGGGGCTGCGTCCCGTGGCTGGGGTTGCTCAGGAACCGTGTGCTGAGCATGTGATGGATGGAGGCGGGGTGGGGGAGCCAGCGCCCAGGGAAAGCCAGGCCGTTCGGGCTGCGGGGGCGCCTGTCTCATCTGCGAGGCGGGCTACGGCTCCGTCCCCTACCTGTAGGACAGGATGTAGCTGGTGGTCCGGTCGCTGAGGCGGATGAGGAAGGAGCCGAGAGCTTTGTCCTCAAGCAGCTGCTCCGTCTGCCTGGGCAGAGGACATACAGTCGGCGGGGTCCCCTGCCCGTGTGGCAGCAGGAGCGGGCCGACTCCGACCCGCCTCAGAGCCCCTGCTGGCCGCGCCCTCGGGTGCCAGACCCAGCGCGCAGATCTGCAGCCCTCCACGGGGGCCTCTCTCAGACCTGCGGCTGCGACTGGTCCGTGTGCGCTCAGTCCGCACACTGGGGACTCGGTCTTGGGCCGGGTCGGAGTCCCGAGGCTCCACGTGCACCACCCTCCACGGCCGCTCACCGGCACACACAACAGCCACTGACCCTGGCCACCCACTCTCCACCTGAACGTCTCTGTCATAGGAGGGGGTCCCTACAGCCAGAGAGTTGTAGGTTTGGGGAGGTCCCCGCCTCAGGCCCACCACCGTACAATTGTGCAGGCACACAAGAGTTCCTACTGGGAGGAGGTGCTGCTTTGTCTGGAGCCTGAGCACAGGAGCAGCTCCCAGGCTCTCAGCTCCCCTACGTGTCCCTTCCAGCCCGAGGCAGCTGTGGATATTTCTGAACGGTGCCACGTATTTTGGAGACATGGAGGAAATTCCAGCCCTCTTCCGGTTTGGCACCGCCAAGCACTCACTGAGTGCCTGCTCCATGCACAGCCCAGTACTACGTGGAAGTGCGGAGCCCCTCACTCAAAAAGTCAGGGTTTCAAGACGGGGACAGCAGAGCCATAAGCTGAGCGCGGCCAGTCCCAGTTCACGGCCGGCGCCGAGCCGGGAGTGCCGGGCTGGGTGTCCTGCTCCCTCGTCTCGTGCTCTGGCCGCTCGCAGGTCCAGCGCCATCCAAGCGCTGCCTCCCACATCGCAGCCTCTATCGCGGGGTAGCGCATGTCCGGCTGGCCTGGGACGACCCCACTCAAAGCAGCCCTCTCACCCACCCCACGAACAGTGTCCGGTTTGGACGACAGAGGTGATGGCCCTCCGGTCGTTCGTCCGGTTCTCGGGCGGGTCCCAAAGCACCTGCGCCTGCACCCGTCTCTCTTCTAGACCTTCGCTCAGAGTGGGGGCCGGTGCGCTCGCCCAGCCTGCCCACAGGAGCGGCCACGAGAGAGCGAGGCGCCCCTCAGTCTGCTCCCTGCCTAGCCCGGGGAGGCAGCAGGGGCCAGTCTTCGGCCGGGGTCCCCAGACCATTCTCTCGGCCCCCAGGGCCCCCGCGGGGCACATGGACGGGGCAGCCTTACTTGCGAGTAATGAATCCGTGAAACCAGGGGGGCAGGGCTCCGTCCTGCAGGATGAGGGGCGCCTGTGTCTGCATGAACCACGTCAGGGCCAACTCCCGCAGCTTGGCGAGGGCCTGGCTGTCCCCCGCCTCCTCGGGCCCCCTCTGCAGGTTGAGCTGCTGCAGGCTGCCCTCCATTCTGGCCAGCGCTAAATGGAAGCAGAGGGCAGACCACCCACACGCCTCTATATCTGTGTGCACCCCGCTCATTTGCCTGAGTCTGTGCCCGCCCCAACCCCCCGGCCGCCAAGCCCACAGAAGCCCTATTGTCACCTCTCCTTCCTGACTCTGGGGCGGACACCTTGTGTGGCTGGAGACACTGGGAGGAAGGTCCTATTAGCAGCCGGTTGGGGGGGCTGGATAGGGCAGGAGACCTCGGACTTCCTGGCCCCTATCCCCCAACCCCCAACCCCCAACCTCCGCCACGACTGGAGACCAGGCCCTGGCTAAGGTCCTCAGCCCAGCTGCCATTAGCAAAGCAGTGGGGTTAAATTCTATTTGTCCTCGTGGACGCCACTTGTATTTTGGTGAAGTTCTGTGCTGATTAATCTCCTTCCACTCCAGATGGATTGAGTGCCTACTGTGTGTCCCGTGCCCTGGGCTGTGGGAATCACGGACACAGACGATTGGTAAGTCCATGTATAGAACATGGTGTCGAGGGGGAGGGCGAAGAGGGCGTGGCTCCCATCACTTAGACAGGGGTGGGGTCAGGGGTTAGGGGTCGAGGGGGGTCTGGCCCAGGAGGCCAGACTGGAGCAGGCAGGTGCCCGGGGAGAAACGATGCTGCTCGCCTGCAGAGGGATGAGGTGGGTCTTTGCTAGAGATCCGGGAGAACAACCCAGAATTCGGTGGAGCTGATAAAGACACACACCGTATTCCTACATCACGAGTATTTTGAGAGCCCTATTCCAGTGTACTTGATCTCTGCCGGAATGCCGCGTATTTTATTGTGTGCAATTCCGAGAAGTCCGTGGGCGTCACCAGACCCCAGAGGGGGAGCTGGGGAAGCTGGGGTCTGACGCAGAGTCGGTCTGCTGCCAAACTGAGGTCCTGCACATATTCAAATGCAAAGAAATGTGTTTTTATGATTTTCCATGAGGCACTCTCTCCCCACCTCCCTTTCAGGCACTACTCTCCGAGGGCAGAACCTGGTCATTTGCATAGGAAGACAAAGGCGTTTTGTGCTGGAGGGGCCAGGCTGAGGATCCCCGGTGGGGCCAGCAGCCCGGAGTCTGTGTCTGTGCTCAGAGAACGGGCAAGGCCCAGGTCTGGGACATCAGGGGCTCCTGCGGAAGGGTGGTCCCCAACAGCGCCACCCACCGCACTGCTCAGTCCCCACCGTGGTCACCTGGGGGGACACTGGTGGGGTGGCCGTGCCCCTTTGATTCCCCTCCCCGGGCGCCCTGGCCCCCGTTGGCTGGCTCTGCGGTAGGTCCTAAACCTCACCACCTCTCCGTGCCCTCGTCTATACAAACGGAGGGGAGAAACCACCCTGGCGGGGTTTGGG